ATACAGATAAATTAAATTGATAAACTAAATGGTTCAAACAACAACTCCAGCCTGTAAAAAAGCTGAAAATAGGGAATCTTTACAATGTGGATCCCCGACGGTCTTCTACTCAGTAAGCAAAAGCGGCAGCCACCAGGCTAGTCGATCTGCTCAATTTAAATATTGAAACCTTATTTTATGAAGTTCTTAAGAATACCAATTGAAACACAATGTAAACAAATAAAAGTTAAGAGTCTCATCCGAATCAAATGATTCCAAACGATACGCATTCATAGAAATTAAGTTTAAATAGACAAAAGTAGAAAAATGGAACAATCTCACCAAATCAGTCCAACTGAATCCCTTGCAAGCAGCTATGTCACGCTTGGTGTAGTAATCGTAGTTTAGGTATTTTAATTAAGCACAAAACTGAAAGCGATGAAGCCGAAGGTTAAGGGTAATTTCTAAGACAGTAGCAAGCCTTTCCTTTCGATTAATTTCCTTTCACAGAGATCCCTCCAGAATTCTTTCTCTGGAAATTCTCTGTAGAACACTCAAAAAAAATCTTAAAGTTCATCCTTTCTTCGAATGTTAAACTCTTTCTAAGAATTCACTGGAGCTTCAATTTTTTTTACTTTACATGAAATTCTCCGTAGAATTCACCTCATACCAACAATTTAAAAGGGCCTATTAGCTTTTTTGAGCAAAACTTGTAATCCCACTTCCCTGCCTTCCCGCCGAGAATTGTTTTTTGCTCAGAATTATCTTGGAATGGTCCTCTAAATTCTTCTGAAAATTGCATGGAATTCTCATAACATTCTCTAGAAATTCCTTTGGGAATGCGCTTGGAATATACTCCGACTATCATTATAAATCTTCGCATATTTATTTTGGAACTGTACCCTCGCGTTCCTTGGTATTTTTCAATATTCCTGGAATCCTCTTCACTCTTGGGAGATCTAGTAAAAACTCTCCTAGAGTTTTTCCTAAAGCTACCTAGAAAATATTCTCTGAAATACTTTGGTGTTTAATATAATGAGAGAGAGAGAGGGATAAGTATTTTCCATTTAATTCCACTACTTTATTTGCTTATCCTTGACAGATACGCGTATTTCGTCTACAATATGCAGACTTCTTCAGTGCCTTGTACTAATACTCGACTAGACAAGACACTGAAGAAGTCTGCACATTGTAGACGAAATACGCGTATCTGTCAAGGATAAGCAAATAAAGTAATGGAATTAAATGGAAAATACTAATTTGTCTCCCTCTCATTATACAGGTATTCCACTAAGACGCCCACATTCATCAGGACCTTGGTGTTATCTCTAGAATTAATTCTAAAATCAGCTCAAATTTGCTTTGGAAAAAAAAATCTAAAATTCACTTAATTGTTCTTCAAAGTGACTGTAGTTATCCTGAAAATCTAGACCAGTTCAAGGGTCTTGGAATCTTATTGTTTTCGGAGAGAGGACGAGATATCTTTTTTCCTGATTTGTCAACTAAATTCATGGGATGTTCCCGGTTACCGTTTAATTTCACATATGAAACACTTGTTTTTAATCCCATTATATTTGTTTTGCTCGAGCACATCCGTAAGAAAATTATTCCGGATAATATACTTAAGCAAAAACTAATTCGCTTGCGGATTCCTCCAGTGGGAAAAAGTAAAAACAACGCTTTTATCTCCAAAATTCTGTAAGTTAATTCCATCTAAATTGCAAAGCAGCAACATTACCATACTAAAACTTTAATGTGCAGCTAATTTTACGAGCTAACCAGGTTTACAATGAAGACCTAGAATACTTACTACATCCACTCTATGCTGTCAAAGCAATGCTTGTCTACGTATCTTTGAATCATTATTCAATCATAAAAGTGCTACTCCAAGCAAGACCATTATCCTAAATTTTCATTAGTTAGTTCTCTGAGCTAATCAAGCTGATAAGAATACAATAAAGAACAAGAAGTATTCAGAAAAAAAAATCATTATCTTCTCTTAAAGCTCGGTTTACACAAGGCAAGTCAATTGATCAACTCAGTTGAATTCAACTGCCTTGTATACGCTCTATGCCATTTAACTGACTTGAATTGAAAAAATTTGAACCAGGCTCAACTTTTCAAGCCAATTAAATTCAACTGAGTTGATCAATGACTTGCCTTATCTAAGCCCAGCTTAACTCTTAATCATTCTTGCATTTGCTCAAAAGCGCTCCAATGCGCTCAAGGGATTGATTTTTGTTGGACACAGCTGGATCGAGCAGACGCAAAATCTACTTGAAGGTTAAATTTTGACAGACGCAGTAAGGTATAACATCTTTTAAAAGACGCACATTCCCATAAGCAGCTTAATTTTGCAACAACGAACAACGTCTAGCGTCTCTACGGAACTGAATTTTTATCTTGTCTCAACTCAGTAATAGGCTCAAAATCAAACTGCAACATCAAGAATTGAACAACCATACTTTCGCAACTCTATTTACAATTTGAAATTGAAAACCATCTTCAAACTACAACGAGTAATTAAATTGTTTGCGACTAGCGAATTTGAAGATCATCGGAAAGTCCGATAATATTTACATAAAAATCAATTGATTTCTATGTGAATCACTCAAATGTAATCTCTCCCCCAAAACACGTATTATTCACCTGAAAAGTGTGATGGAAAATATCTACGTGCCTTTTCAGGTAAATTTTACGTAACTTTTTTTTGCAGCGTAGGCTTGTACAACTTTCAAGATCTCAATGTAAAGTAACCAGAATATTGGGTGTAGATCTTTTTCGAAATCTCTGAAAATGTATGATTGGTCTATTGGATTGGATATTGGATTCCGTCAACAGTTAACGTTTCCATATCTAGATAGAGCTGGAATTGGGGCGTAACAGCTTTTGTTAACAATGACTTCTCTTGAAGATTTCTCGAAAGTCATGGCCAGGCATGGAAAATCATTTGCATTCATTTGCCCCTACCTTTTTTCATCAACAGAATTCCGCAAAATGATGTATCAAACTTTTGTAGGTTTTGTTATTAGCTACAACTTTTGTTAAGAAGTCAAATCCGGATCTCTTATGCATGACGAACCAGAGCAAACAGAATCCACTACTGTTTTTCAGTGAATGTATTTTACATTCACTGAAAAACAGTAACGAGCTCTGCCCGCTCTAATTCGTGATGCATAAGAGATACAAATTTGAGTTACTGTCAAAAGTTTTAGCTAATAACAAAACCTACAAAAGCTCCATACATCATTTGGCGGAATTCTGTTGATGAATAAATTTAGGGGCAAATGAATGTAAATGAATGCATGAAATGAATGTTAATGATTTTCCATGCCTGGTCATGGCTCTCCCTGGCAAATCGACATCACCATGAGTGAGTAGGTGAAGACTACCCCTACTCGATGGATATGTTGGTTTTGTGTAGGCGTGCCTTGAATTCCTAGAAATCAACGAGAGAAGTCATTGTTTACAAAGGCTGTTACGCCCTAATTCCAGTGCTATCTAGATATGTTCGCAACTCTTCTTGTCAGATTTTACTCTGATTTTTTAAAGTCAAATTCTTTACTCTCAGCTAACTCCCGGGCTAAAGCTGTCTACAATGACCATAAATGCGACATTGCAGAGAGAGTTCTTCCTAAAAACACAGCCGGCCAGTGCAGGTTAGAGGGAAAACACACACACACACTCTTGAAAATTTCCTCAAAACTTTGTTAAAATTCTACTTAGAATGTTGAAAGGGTTCTCTTTAAAATTCCCGACGATTTATTAAGAACCCATTGAAATTATCTCTCAAGCAAAAAAAAAATACTTTAGAATTGAAAACAAAATTGTAAATCTTTGAAGTGCCAGACTGTTTAAACACAAACTTATTATAAGAACTTTTAATATATTTAAATATCACAGATTCATGGGACGGTTTTAAAGTCATTGGAGTTTCATGAAAGCGAAAAAAAAAATCAAAGCTGCAAAGTGGGATTGAAAGAATAAAATATTTTAAAATTTTAAAATCTGAATAAAAGTTCTCAGTCCTTCAAGAAAAACCAAGGCTCAGGTTTTATGTGTCAAACACAAACTTTAAAATCTTTTCTTGTTCTTCACACATACAAAATACCATCATAATATCTTATTATTAAATGAATGGAAGGCACCCTGCTCTCAGCATTGGTCGTAATAAAGTGACTTTAGTGACTAAATCATAAGGAATAGTGACTTTTCGATGAAAAAAGTGTCTGACTTGAAAATAGTGACCAAGTCACTAAAAAGTGACCTGCTACCAGCCCTGGACTTGGCCCTAAAAAAGGACACTTTTAAGTCACTGGCTTGAAAAATGTGAACAAGTCACTAAAAAGTAACTCGCTACCAGCCCAACTATCCTAACCTAATTCAAAGTGACAGGTTTTGTTACACAAATTACCTGAAAAGACAGTAAAAACTATAAAAACGAATGTTCTAATTATAATTCAGCATCATTAAATGATGATTGAAAAGTAAGATCAACGCATCCTAAAACATATTTTCATTTACTTGATAATGATAATGAAATCGTAACATCAATTATAACCGATGACTATCATATCAAGCCAAACGGAGCAAAGTAAACATTCAACACCATCCATGGGACCAACAACATTGCAAAAAAAAAAACAAGTAATTGTTCACCTCTCACTAGTGATTTTCCGCATGTCGCCCACCCCGTTGCAAGTTGCATCCAATCCACCCTCCCACCCGCACACATTTTCGATCATCATCAACAACAATCAACGCAAAAGCCGATGAATAACAAAAACAAGAATCGCACACAACACGGGAAAGAAGAAAACCCACCGCGGCTGGATGTAGCGCTAGCGCTATGCATTTCCCTCTTCCGCAGCCCACAGACACCCGCACGCACACAGTCACACGCGCACACTAGACGGAGCCCAACAGGACAAAGCAGCAACCCTAGCGCTCCGCTCTAGCGGAACAGGAGACGATGGCGATCTTCCCTTGCAGCAGCAGCAGCAGTTCGTTCACAAACTTACCGGCAATAGATTCGTCAATTTCCTCCTCGGACGCCATGGTTTCCGGCCTGATGATGGGCTCACTCGATTCACCGGAACGTGCACTCACTTTTGGCGATAGTTTCGGTCACGACCGATACGGATTTACCGGTGCAAATTGCAATCTTTTCGCGAACAACACGGATTTCACACCTCTGTCGGCCGCTTTTCAAGAGCTACAATCTTCCAACATGGCGTCCGCTTGTGGTGGCGGTTCTCTCTCTCTCTCTCGTTCTCAGATGGTCGGTGTTTTGCCGCTTTTCGCTCTCGCACGGGGAGGCCCGTCGTGAAGTGCGAACTGTCAAACCGACAGCCGGCGGAGGGGATAGCCGATGAGAAACATTTTCGACATGCATCCAGCAGGGCTTGTATACAAGGGTAGGAAAAGCTTTGCTCCACACTCAAAAGGGCCACCTCTAATAAATTGTGTATATGGTTATTATGCTTAACGACATGTTTGGGGTACCATCCAAACCGTTTATGGAATAGTTCTATCATTTGGGTTATCGTTAGTTACTAGGTAAATTATCATTAGAAAAAATAGGGAACTTCAGGGAAGTCCATATAGAAGTTCGGGGAACATAAGGGGAAAGTTACGCGAGCTGCAACAAGTTCAGGAAAATTAAGGGAACTTCGAGGAAGATGTAGGAAACTTGTGGAAACTTTTATAAAATACTTAAAAATGTCTGAGAAATCTAGAGAACTTTAAAGGGGAGTTCGAACAACAGAAAACACGTAAAGTATGGGGAAAGTCTAGACTTTTGGGAAGTTCCAAGCTGTTCATCTAATTCTTTAGATCCGGTAATCTATGGGCAGTTCCATGAATTTTAGGAAAATTTTGAGAACTTCATTCAAAACCTAAGAACTTCATAAATCATTTCGCTTTAATTTCTGGAAAATTAAGGGAACCTTAAAGTTCTATAAATTTGAGGGAAGTTCAAAGCACTCCAGCGCAGTTATGATTTTTCAGGAAATCTTCGAGAACACAGGAGTTCAGAGAACTTCGAAAACTTTAAAGAAGTTCAGTAAATTTTAGGGAGATTCGAGAACTTCAGGGGAACTCCGGGATTTTCAAGAAAGTTCAATGCACACCAGTGGAATGTGAGATCATTTTACAAGAAATTGCGTAAGCTTCAGGGAAGTTTCTTGACTTGAGGGAACCTCAGGGAAGATGATTCCGGTTCCTTTAATTTCAGGAAAATATCGGAAAATTTCTAGATGCTCTCAAATGTTCAAGTAGTACAGAAAACTTCAGGGATGTGAAAAACTTCAAAACATTTTTGAAAGCTCCACCGAAGTTCAGAGGTTGTCAATGAAGCTTAGGGATTCTTATGACTATTCTATCACAGACAAACAGACGTATCCCGTCAATCTGGAACATCGTTCACGCATTTAACGATTGATTTGAAAATTATCATTTCCGCGAACTAGTCGCTGCAGCGCCGGCATCGGATCACTTTGACGTTTCTATTTACCTTCCATGCAATATTATTTGCGACTTAACGAACAAACTTCGAGTCAGCGAACTTCGAGGAAGTTCAGCAATTCGAGGAAGTTCAGTGAAATTCGAGGAAGTTCAGCAAACTTTGAGGAAGTTCAGTGAACTTCGAGGAAGTTCAGCAAACTTCGAGGAAGTTCAGCAAACTTCGAGGAAGTTCAGCAAACTTCGAGGAAGTTCAGAAAACTTCGAGGAAGTTCAGCAAACTTCGAGGAAGTTCAGCAAACTTCGAGGAAGTTCAGCAAACTTCGAGGAAGTTTAGCAAACTTCGAGGATGTTCAGCAAACTTCGAGGAAGTTCAGTGAAATTCGAGGAAGTTCAGTGAAATTCGAGGAAGTTCAGTGAAATTCGAGGAAGTTCAGCAAACTTCGAGGAAGTTCAGCAAACTTCGAGGAAGTTCAGCAAACTTCGAGGAAGTTCAGCAAACTTCGAGGAAGTTCAGAAAACTTCGAGGAAGTTCAGCAAATTTCGAGGAAGTTCAGCGAACTTCGAGGAAGTTCAGCAAACTTCGAGGAAGTTCAGCAAACTTCGAGGAAGTTCAGCAAACTTCGAGGAAGTTCAGCAAACTTCGAGGAAGTTCAGCAAACTTCGAGGAAGTTCAGAAAACTTCGAGGAAGTTCAGCAAATTTCGAGGAAGTTCAGCGAACTTCTAGGAAGTTCAGCAAACTTCGAGGAAGTTCAGCAAACTTCGAGGAAGTTCAGCGAACTTCGAGGAAGTTCAGTTAATTTCAAGGAAGTTCAGCAAACTTCGAGGAAGTTCAGCAAACTTCGAGGAAGTTCAGCCAACTTCGAGGAAGTTCAGCGAGCTTCGAGGAAGTTCAGCGTACTTCGAAGAAGTTCAGCGAACTTCGAGGAAGTTCAGCAATCTTCGAGGAAGTTCAGCAAACTTCGAGGAAGTTCAGCAAACTTCGAGGAAGTTCAGTGTACTTCGAAGAAGTTCAGCGAACTTCGAGGAAGTTCAGCAATCTTCGAGGAAGTTCAGCAATCTTCGAGGAAGTTCAGCAAACTTCGAGGAAGTTCAGCAAACTTCGAGGAAGTTCAGCAAACTTCGAGGAAGTTCAGCGAACTTCGAGGAAGTTCAGCAAACTTCGAGAAAGTTCAGCAAACTTCAAGGAAGTTCAGCAAACTTCGAGAAAGTTCAGCAAACTTCGAGGAAGTTCAGCAAACTTCGAGGAAGTTCAGCGTACTTCGAAGAAGTTCAGCGAACTTCGAGGAAGTTCAGCAATCTTCGAGGAAGTTCAGCAAACTTCGAGGAAGTTCAGCAAACTTCGAGGAAGTTCAGCAAACTTCGAGGAAGTTCAGCAAACTTCGAGAAAGTTCAGCAAACTTCAAGGAAGTTCAGCAAACTTCGAGAAAGTTCAGCAAACTTCGAGGAAGTTCAGCAACCTTCGAGGAAGTTCAGCAAACTTCGAGGAAGTTCAGCAAACTTCGAGGAAGTTCAGCAAACTTTGAGGAAATTCAGCAAACTTCGAGGAAGTTGAGCAAACATCGAGGAAGTTGAGCAAACTTCGAGGAAGTTCAGCGAACTTCGAGGAAGTTTAGCAAACTTCGAGGAAATTCAGCAAACTTCGAGGAAGTTCAGCAAACTTCGAGGAAGTTCAGCAAACTTCGAGGAAGTTCAGCAAACTTCGAGGAAGTTTAGCGAACTTCGAGAAAGTTCAGCAACCTTCGGGGAAGTTCACCAAACTTCGAGGAAGTTCAGCGAACTTCGAGGAAGTTCAGTAAACTTCGAGGAAATTGAGCAAACTTCGAGGAAGTTCAGCAAACTTCGAGGAAGTTCAGCAAACTTCGAGGAAATTGAGCAAACTTCGAGGAAGTTCAGCAAACTTCGAGGAAGTTCAGCAAACTTCGAGGAAGTTCAGCAAACTTCGAGGAAGTTCAGCAAATTTCGAGGAAGTTCAGCAAATTTCGAGGAATTTCAGCGAACTTCGAGGAAGTTCAGAGAAAAATGTTAGTGACTTGGGATGATCACAATATTTGTATTCAGCTTTCTAACAGGAAGGTCATCACATACAACTCGAACGGTTCCCAAATGAAGACAGTTCCTTTCACATGCTTTTATAAATCTTTAATAAGAAAAACTCAATTCAAACCAGCTTACTGTACACCCCGAACGCTCCGGTTCCGCTCTTACAAAGCTGTCCGACCATCAGCCGGGACGAAGGCGAATCCAGATGGTCACCGTTGCCCTTCAGGGCGGCCGCCTTCAGAAACTGAATCGACGACTCGAACGAAATCTGCTGCAGCGGCGATACGTTGTGCTCCATTCCCTTCCGGCTCATGGATTTGAACGTCCCGTCGGCGGTCATGTAGTCCGCCACCAGCAGCAGATGGCGTGGATTGATCGTGATGCCGTAGACCTTGAACACGTTTTGAACCTCCTTGACGATGACCCGCGCCGCTGCCTCTATTCCGTACGTTTGCGAGATGGCGTAGATGTCGTTCGAGTACAGCCGGTTCAGATCGAGGATTTCGCTATACTTGGTCATCGAAAAGATGTTGATACCGTCCGTTTTCAGGTAGAGCTGATCGTTCTGGACGTAGGTGATGGCGCGGCGGATGTGAGGGACCTTAAATACCACTGGTTGTTAAGACCTCAGTTAGCAAAGCGTTTAAAGCGACTTACCTGCCAAACGACACACTTCCCAGCAATATCCCTCAAAATTTTCGTAAAGTCAATGTCCTTATACTTTATGGGCATATGGAAGGTGACCTGGCACCAGCGGTGCTCCTTTTTGTCGAAGACGTAATCTTCGATCAGATTGTTCTCTACGGTGACCAGCAACTTCTCCGCATCCTCATCCAGCTTGGTATTGGAAACGTCCAACGCTTCCTCTGCGTTGGCCATCTCATCGTCATCGGCGTTCGCTTCGTCATCCCCTTCCTGCTCCTTATCCTCCGTGGAATTTTGCAACTCATCCCCGTCCTCCTGATCATCCTCCTCCTCCTCATCCGTATCATAGCCCACTTCGTCGCTTTTCTTGTTCTTCAAGTTGAATTCCGTCGCATCGGCATCGCCTTCGTTGCCACCGGCATCGTCGTCCGAACTCTCGTCGGCGTTCTCCTCCAGGCGAGACATGTCCGGCTCCCGACTGTCCACTAGATTATCATTTTCGTTCGCGCCAGCTGCGGTCTGTTTCGTAGTGGATTCCTGCTCGATTTCAATCCTGTAACAAAGGAAACGTAGTTTAGAAAGAAGATCAACCCCGGATTGCAAAGACTTACAGAACGTTCTTGGCCTTGGCCGATCGGAAGATGATCCGGAACATGTGCTTGAAGAAACCGCGGGACATGTAGCGCAGAATCTCCTCCGGTGCCACTCGGTAGTCGTGCGCATAGGCATCCTTCGGCAAGAAGTTGAATCGCACCACATGTTGCATTCCTCGGGATGGCCGCAGGACCAAGCGGGACTTCACTTTGATATCTGCAATGGAGAGACTCTACTGAGTAGCTGTACGAAAAGCAACGCATCTAATAAAACCAACCTTCCAGAACATCCGCCACCGTGACCCGGTTCAACGTCTTGCGCATCTTTTCGGCGACTGAATGCAGCTTCTTCTGGCTTTTGTACGGCCGGAACGGAATCTCCATCGACGGGGTCTTGATGTGCTGCGAGGCAAGCATCAGAATTTCACGCAACCGAGGAATACCCAGGGTCACGTTCATCTCACCACGACCGGCAAAATGAAACGTGTTCAGGGTCATCTGCGTGGAAGGTTCTCCGATGGATTGCGCTGCTAGCAGACCGACCGGTTCGCCGGGTGCTGCCAGAGCGTAACTGTTTTTGATCTTCATCAATTCGGCCATGTCGTGGAGAGGTTGCTGCGTTTTCTCGAAATGTTTCACCAATTCTTCGAGGTGCTCGGTTAGCGCTCCAAAGCAACTGTCCGGTCGGAACAGCGAGAACGTAGGATCCGGACAAGGGGCATACTTCCTTCTGTACTTGGCTTTCTCGTCCGGTTTCGCTTTGTTCCATTTCTTGACAATCTTCCCCGTGAGTCGGCTGCGGCCGGTTTTCGTTTTCAAACGATCCGGATCGGACATGTCGGCACGAACCTGTTCGCTGACGTCTGTAGAAAACTTTGCAAACGGCGACATCCGGGTCTTCTGCAGCGTGGCACCGTTTTTCTTGCACCAGGACTTCATTTTCTTGACGTGTGCCTTGATCCGGTCGTTCAACTCGTCGTCGTTTGCGAGCATCTTGACGGTGTCCGGTCGCACGATCACGTCCCTGTTCAGATCCAGGAATTTCAAGTGCTTTGAAGTCTCGATAAACTGCGCCTTGGAGATATCCATGCCGTCCTCTCCGTACATGAACTGAACCACACTGTTATCGCTGTCCCTCACCGTCATGTCGTAGTTCACGTTCAACCCCTCCAAGTGCTTCACCAAACATCGCTGAAGATATCCGGAACGGCTGGTCTTGACGGCCGTATCGATCAGTCCCTCCCGACCGGCCATACAATGGAAGAAGAAATCCTGCGGCTGGATTCCGGTCATGAACCGTCCGTCGATGAAACCACCCGACTTGGGCGAAGTTTCAAAACTTGCAAAACTGGGCAGCGACTTGCCGGAGATCATCAACGGAGGTCGCTTGCCCTCCAGTTCGATCTGTCCTAGCAGACAGGAGATCTGCATCGTGTTCACCGTGGAACCCTTCGCACCGGATTGCACCATTAACTGCAGGTTGTTGTCCGGGAACTTGGTGATCAACCCCTCGGGAATGCACGCCTCGTTGATCTGGTTGGTGTAGATATCCAAGGCGGTTTTGTACTTGCGATCGAGGATCACGCGGAACTTGGGATTGTTGGCGTAGGCCTCCTCCATTTTGGTGTTCAGTTCGTCGGAGGATACATCCGGAGGGAGATCCAGTGCGGAGGCAGCCGTTTCGTGTCCGATCTGCCGACAAGCTTTGATGATCTTGGATCGCTTTTTGTCGGCGGTTTTCTGAACCAGGATGTCCTTGACACCGAGGGTGAAGCCTTCCCACTGGAGATAGTAGGTGAAGAGTCGGGACAGCGATGACAGCAAGAGCGAGGAGCAATGGCCACCGTAGAGTTCGTACATGCAGTGGATCAAACCGTACGGGGTAGCACCGAAGTGGTTCTTATCGAGGATTCCGACCAGGAGTTCCCCATCGCGGATGAACACCTCCGACTCGGACATTTGATTACCGACAAGAAGAGTACCGCCAGCCAGCCACTCACGAGCGGGTTCCGTTTGCCAGTGCTTGTTACCCAGCTTGGACGATCCGATCATGTTGATGTGGGGCATGTTCTTGGGGATGATGTTCTTCACGATCGTTGAGATGATCTGCTTTCCGGACCAAAGTGTCGCCGGTTTCAGGATGGTCGGTGGGAGCAGATCGATGTTCCCACGGTGGTTGCTCAAGGCTTGGAAGACCAACTGCTGGTAATCGTCACAATTGAAGAACTTACCTCTGATGAACAGTTTCACGGCAGAGACGATGTGATCTTGGATCAGACCTCCCAGCGGAGTTCCGTCCTTCGGGACCAGGTATTGATGGGGAACGGCTACGAGATTGTACGCTTCGCTACGTCCCAGCTCGGTTTGCGGAAAGTGGGCATTCATTTCGTCGCCGTCGAAGTCGGCATTGTAGGACTTGCAGTTGGAGTAGTGCAGACGGAAGATCTTCTCCCCGCTGAGAATCTTGGCCTTGTGGGCCATGATACTCGGGCGATGGAGAGTCGGTTGACGGTTTAGCAGCAGAGCATCACCGTTCAGCAGATGACGATGAACGATCTTAACGCCCTGCTCGTTCGAGCTATGCGGAGTCAGCAAAGTCTTGGCCAACGACTGTCTCTGAGTCACATTCAGAGCCGAAATCTTGCTGACTTGTCCGTTGGAATCTTCGATCATATTCGCCCCCGGGTATTCATCGGGACCATTCATGACCATCTTTCTCAACTCGGCGACATTCCAGGAAGTCACCGGAACGGGATACGTCAATCTCTTGGCAAACGTGACCGGAATTCCGATTTCGTCCACACCGATATTCGGATCCGGCGTGATGACCGTTCGTGCAGCGTAGTTTACTCGTTTCCCCATCATGTGCATCCTCACAAGGCCTTCCTTTTTCTCGATAATTTGCTTAAGCCCGCACCCGCGGATTTGGTTCTTATCCTGCGCCATGTTGATGTCCAACAACTGATCCACGTAGCTCTGCAATTCCACCCAAGCATGGTACAACTTCTCGTGGGACGAATCGCCCTTGGCCGTTTCGAAGACCTTCTTCATTTCCGTCTCAATTGCAGCACTTCCACTCGGCTTGTTGTCGTCGTCGTCGTCTTGTAACTCATCGTGCTTCTTGGTCAATACCAGGATCGCCCTCAACGTGGCATTCGCCATCAAAATGTTCCTCAGGATCGAAGTCTGCGGATGCTCCAGGATCTCCATTCCTTCGACACGTCGAACCGGGCGCACTAGCGGGGGCTGTACCGGAATCACATCCATGAAGAATAGATCGGTCGGGTTCTTCATCGACCGGGCACTCTTCTGCAGAATCGGTAACAGAAGGTTCAACAGCGGGGCATCATTTTTGAACAGTTCTAAGAAATAACGCTGGCACTCTTCGCCAAAGATGATCCTGTTGGTGGCTCGCGTCTTCTCGTCTTCCACATTGGTCTGTCCTTGCTTTTCGCTGAAAGTTACCGGAAAAAAAGGTTAGGAGCGGTCTCAGTTTCCTATGTCTCCTCTGTAACAACTTATACTCACTAGAAAGCCCTCATCTCGGCCCGAGTCATACTGAACACCAGTCGCTTATTAGAAACCCGCACCTTCCGGATGATAGTCTTGCAGTGAATGCATACTTTCTTGACGCATTCCTTCATCGTCGTATTGACGATTGCCGTCCGAATCGCCTCCGAATTCTTCGTATTGCCAAGTTGGTTGTAGGGATCTAAAATTGCGATTTACATTCAATTAACCACCCTTCTTCACCCGATTAAAGCACCCCGTTCATACGGTTCATCAACAGCTCCGAATAGTAACTGACCCCCTCCGGAAGCTCTCCGACCGGAGCCATCGCCACCTTTTGCTTGTAAACCTCCAGCTCCTCGGCTTCCACGATGTACCCGGCGTCCACCAGGTGCAGCTGCAACTCCAACATGCTCTTCATCGAATCATGTATCTGCAACCGGAAGCACTCGGTGCAGCAAATCCGCAACAAATTATACGCCGTCTTGACGAAAAACGGGTTGAACACCGGAACACAGATCTCAATGTGGCCAAAGTGCCCCTCGCAATTGTTGATGTCCTTGACACAGGTGGTGCACACCTCGTTTCGTCCACTGGGGCCTGAAACCAAAAACAATTAAATCCAATCATACATTCCTGCAGCACACTCGGCAACCAACCCATCGCGGCATCGTACAGTCCTCCCGGGATGGCATGGCCCAGCTCGTCGAACGACCTCGACGTCACGATTTTCGTCACACTAATCCGCTTGATGTCCTCCGAGCTGAACACCGCAAAATGCAAATTAGTCGGGTCCAGATTGACCTCCAGATTCTGATCGATCGTCATCTCGGCTGGTGGGGGGAATCAATTTCGAAGACAAGTTGCGATATTTTTTTACGCACTAATACCGTGTGAATCAATAAAACTTCAACTAAATCGAATGCTATTTGACTAAAACTAAAACTTGAACAGCAATTGGAACTGTATTCATCAATTTTAACACTATTTTTCAACCAAAACTGAACCACTTTGAATTATTTTGAGCAGCACATGTTCGGAGGGAAATGTCAAAATAAAACCGGCCGCATGTGATGGAACGTTGTTTTGAACCACCGACAGGTGAAAGTGTGCGTGCAATATTTACTACCGTGAAGGCAGTGGTGTGCGTGATTTGTTTTCAGACCCGGTGAGCTTGGAGTTGTGAGAGCAACGGTGTAAACAAACGTGTATGGACGTCGCTTCCGTCGTGCAGATGGGGAACATTGAATGAATGACTTCACCGTTATGTGGGTGTGAGACGAGCGAGCGCATCAGGACTGGGCAAGACACGGAAAGAAATTTGCAAAGGAAACATTATTTTAATTAAATTGCAAAGGTTCAATTCAAAGACGTTTCAGTTAAAGGCCTTTCTTTTTGACGTAGAACTACGTCTTTGTCGACTATACTGGGGTACAAATCAAAAAAAATATGTGTAGTGAAATAGTGTTAGGGTTTGAACGCTTGTAACTTTGTCATTTATAGATGTAATTAAAATCCAAATACACCAATCGATAGAATATTACTTAAGGTTCTACAAAGGGTAAGTAATTTTGTGTTCTTCTTCTTTTTTAAATATCATAAAATCATCATCATTAGTTTACACATACATTCATATATTATGAATACGAAAATTTAAAACTTGTATTTCGTGGGTAAAACACGAAAATTTCCTGGGTAAAACACATTCACTGTATTTACTTACTTGTGTTCTTCGAAGTATAGCACAATTAAACGCAATCGAATACACGAAACTCAAAACAACTGCTTCACAAAACTCTTGGTGAACAAAATTAATCACAAAGAAAACCATTTCTACTTTACTGCTTTGCTAGCAATCGTGAAAGTATCATTGAAACAGCGGTGCCAGATGTATTGCCTCTAGCAATGAATTTAAGTTTATTAAAACAATTAATTGCGAAGTCTGCCTTATTAACATAGATGAGTGGATGTATTTAATGGTGGATAAATATCTAAAACTGATTAAATAAAACATAAATGACCATTTTAAACATTTTACCGGTCCAATTAAAAAAGTCACAGAACATTGAATTCAACACTAACAGGGTTGATGGCAGCAGTGCACGTAGCCTGTTATACACTTTCCCGCTCAGGGGTGTAAACAAACTTGCATACAGCGCAGTCTGGCAGTGCTTATGTTTTGTCTGCTACATTCTTATCCACTAGATAGTGTGACATCACATTTGCTGTTGTATTGAAATGAAGGAAGAAAAGAGATGGTTGAGTTTTCCTCACCATACCAGTTGATATTTATGAAAAATGGGCAGTTTTGGCGTGGGGACATGCACTTCCAATGAATTTTACCAATACATTTAGAAAATGATGATCGAAGAATATTTCAAAAAGAAGAAGTAAACAAAATAATGACCCTTTGTAGAACCTTAACGAATCTGATGAAATAAACACTTTTTCAATTTTTAATCAAAAAACTTTTGAAAATGCGCAAATGATAATTTTATCACTGTTTTCATGAACTAAACGTTTTCTCCAATCCCAGTCATCATGAATGAATACCACTTGGTTGCACATCATTCTGATTGAAAAGATATAAAACAGCGCTGCTTTCCTGACTCTGACTCGGACGGCGTGGCACTATAGGTCCTACAGCAAGCAGGACCAAGTTAGCGGCTAAAGGTGGATCACGGCGTGACCATGAACACCACAATGAGGAATGAGACTTGGAAAATTATGTATGTGTAACAACCTATCCACCCCCCTCAACAACAACCCAAAAAAAGACATGGACTTTGACGATCACTTTTTTCCGGGCAATAAATTTTAAGTAAACCACAATTAGGGGCTGTTCATTAACTACGTAGACAGTTTTTTTTTTGGGATTCTTGTATAATAGACAAAAATGGATGAAAAACATCCATTTTGCGTGGTTCTACCAACAATCAATATGAAACTAACGATTTTGAATTGGCTCACTACTTGACTAGCCTATTGGTCCCAAGCAAATCGATTAACGTACCCCATTCTTGTTGAAATTCTAGTACTACACAATGTTTGTTTTGATTCGCTATGAAAGTTTGACAGATAAAATGAGGGGTTAGTGGATTTTGCTATGTTTCGAGGGGTGAATCGATTAGCTTGGGACCGAAGATAGTACCAGAGCTAAGCCAAAAAGTTGAGCACGTTTCTTCGGGACCTTCTAGTCTTAGAGTTACCTCTATGGTTCTACGTCATACTGCCATAGAGGTAACTCTAAGACAAGTAGGTCCCGAAGAAACGTGCTCAACTTTTTGGCTCACCTCTGGTACTATCTTCGGTCCCAAGCTTGTCGAATCACCCCTCGAAACATAGGAAAAACCAATAACCCCTCATTTTATCTGTCAAACTTTCATAGCGAATCAAAACAAACATTGCGTAGTACTAGAATTTCGACTAGAATAGGGTACGTTAATCGTTTGCTTGGGACCAATAGGCTACTAAAGTGGTGAGCCAATTTAAAATCGTTAGTTTCGTATTGATTGTTGATACTGCGGTCGTGTCTAGGACACAACCCTTTATTTTTTTTATTAGAGTGACTTTCAGGCAGCGGCTGGTTCGTCACTTAAAAAGGGAAAGAGGCTTTCAGACACGGATAGAAATCTCCTTATACCTTTTGGCAAATTTCTATTGCTAATTATTCATAAAATGTGTAAGTCAACTAATAAGCAGACGCCTTGCAAAAAGTTAATGAAGATCATGTGTCAAGTGAAATGTATAAGCGGTCACACATACCTTTTATGCATTCTTATAGGACCTATGTGGTTTGTCTTATGGAATGTATAAGGCTGATGTCTTGGCAAAAATGTATAAGTGAAATACATAAATGAAATAATTGATTTTCGTTTCGTGGAGAGCGGCCCCAGATGTGTAAAGGGTACAATCAGGGGGTAAGTCAATTTGCCACAGGCAGCATCATCAGGAGGAACAGATGCTAAAAACGTAAAGACAGGGGTAAGTCACTCTGCCACCTTGTGTTTACACCCACAAAAACACACTACGACACACTCTGAACACCTTGTCACCCAGTCTGCCACCAAATAAAAGATAATTTTTTATCAATTCTGGCACCACTTCCAAGAATGTTGACACCATGTGTTGTTTATAATAGACCATGTGACCCGATAGTGTGATTTTATCATTCATCTTTGACAGAATGATATGTTTTTTTATTGTTATGTACCTCTCATTATGAAAACAAACCAATCTAACCTGTCAAATTTGAAAAGATTGAGAACGATTGGTTTTTTTGTATGTTCCGAACGAACACAATAATATGAGTGATTGTCTTTAAATTCGGTTTAAATAGTCAAATATACGTTTGTAGGAAATATACGTAGTTGCATTGTATGGCTCTCGGTATGGCTCTCGGCTAGCTGCTCGTACTTGAAGTTTGCTGCGGTTGCCTTAACACTGAAACCATAAAAATAAATAATTTGCGATTTAAATCTCAGTATACTCAGTATAATCGGCTGAAATTTTTTGACAGTTCAGTGGTACCACAAACGAAGTGACAGGCGGAGCGGCTCGAAAACTTTGGTGACTTACCTGCTATTTCAATTTTTCAGTGTACCACATGGCAACACCACTACTACTGGATTGTACCACATGGCAACACTACTACTAGATTGAACTAGCATTTTCACCAAATGTACAAGAATGTTTTGGTTCTATCTCTTTCACTCTACTCAAAACTGAAATACATAAAAAAAATGACAAAATGATGCGCACTCTTTGCACACTGTCAAAGAATCATTGTACACAAAATTAACTTTGTTCAAATCAAAACAAAAAAACTAACCCATCTGGTGGATGATGGTACAAGCTTCCAAGAAAATTCTATTACAGTGAACCACATTATTTAAATGGATTTCTTCGCCAGTTAGTCGTCTGTCACTTCGTTTGTGGTGGTACTGTTTACAAGCACTTAGTAGTTTTTTCGAAGAAAAAATATTGTAATATTTCCGAATTTTAACTTGAAATTTGTCGCGGTGAAAGGATGTTGCTCGTGGACAATGCAGAAGTGTGGTTTACATCTCACTGCAGTCTAAAAAAATATCGAGAAAATCTATCCAAGAAAAAATCGACTAAATCCACCTAAACAGTACCACTGAATTGTCATCAGATTGAGGTTAACCCCGACGGTGCAAAACCTAATTTGCAGCGAAGAGAATCTGTAATTTTTAGCGTTGTGGATGTTATGGCTGCCAGCTAGCATCATTTTTCGTTTGCCGTTTTCACAGGCAGGTCGACACATAAAAACACCCAGAAACACAATAGAGGTAACTCCGAGGAAACACCCTCCGACCTCGCCTCCGACACCTAAAAACACACAAGAAACACAATCAGCACAGGCACAAAGTGGCAGGGTGATCACCAAAGGAGCAAAGGCTACGACCCAGGCGAGTAAGAGAGGTGCCACAGTCGGAAGAAGTGTTAGTTTGTTTACTTAAATGAACCATGCCCATTTTGTTATGGCGAGTTTGCTATAAGAAATGCTCCTCGTGTTTATTAGCGAAATTCATATCAAAGGTTGATTAATTGCGTAGGAAATCAGTTTGGCACGGCATTTGTGACCAGCATACACCTTCCGGTCGTATGAAACAGGTCAAAAACTGTCCAAATTCGCAGATAAAAATTTTTGTTTTGAATTTCTGTATAGCAAAATAGTGAACTTTTCGTGAACATTAACGGCAAAGAACTCACCAACACTGGGAGACCGTGAGTTCCTGCCCACCTGTCATTTCCCATCTCGGGCTACGACGAGAACTTTGATGCGAAAGGTGCAACCATTATGTGGACCGTACACGATTGCTTTTATTGACAATAATCGTATTGTCAATACATTCAATATTGACGTCAATACATCGGTATTGACAATATTTCTGTATTCACATCATCAATATTAATGTCAATAATTCCCCTTCGCGTCAATATATTGATACGTGTGGGGTTTACTTTAGTCGAAACGGGACTGTTGGTGAACATGATGATTCAGACAGGGC